GGAGTTCTCTTACTATATGTCTGCACAGTAGCATTCCCATTGTGCTGGGTACAAGATGTAAATATTAACCCCCTCCTGAGATGCACTCTCACCACCTCTCTCTGGGGTCTTTGCTATGCGAAGCAAACTCACTTGACAACACTGCCTATGGATGGCCCTATGAGGCCTGAGCCCAGCACTTCCTGACTCTTCCCTCCCACCCCCCCACCAAACCTACTTTGTTAACTCGAGACATGACAGCAAAGATGGCTGCATCGCTCATGACAGTGGTTTCAATCTCCTCTTTGGACAGACGGACGGCCATTTCATGACCCTGTAGAAGAGAGATTCTGGTGAGCCTTGAGGGACCAGACAATGAAGCTCCAGCGCTGGACTCTATGCAGTACCAGACACATTCAGCTCACGCCAGAAGCTACATTTTCTGAGCCAGAAACATGTCAGGGATATAGCATATATGTGGTCCTCTAAATCACTGGTGGGGGAAGCAATGAGTTTGCCCCACTTCTTGGCCACAGCCAGCAGTCATTTGGGGCAGCCAGGATCCTCCCTCATGCTGAGCAGAAGTACCTGTTATTTGGACACCTGCTCCTCCTAAGATAGATAAAGCACTGCAGATACCACAGACAGGGCCCGGAGAACACGGCTAGGCAGGGTCCTACCTGGCAGAAGGGTGCACACTCTGCTACAATGACATGGAATTTCCGCTTGCGTGCTGCCTCCTTCAGGAAGGCCTCGACGGTGCGAGAATAACCAATGGTCATGATCACCTCGTTGGAGTGGATGTGCTCCAGCGCCTGCATTGCAATGTTATCCGTGGTTCCCTCTGCAAGGGAAGCCATCCAGCAGTGAGAGGAGAGTCAGGCCTAATACCTACCATACTGAGTCCAGCCACAGACAGCACCAACAGAAGGCCTTCTGCCACTGCACACAACTGCAATTCCCTTTCTCCAGAGCTATCTCACAGGCCAATTAAAAAAAATAATCTGACAGAACTTTTTAGAGCTCTGGGTTGGCAGGGAGAGATGTGAGATTCTGACTTACAACCTGATGAAAGGATACAACATTCCTTAGCTGAACACTGAGACCCCCGATTTGGCAATGAAGTTATTACCTGTTCCCCAAATTAGGCTGTGTCACATCACTCTTCACTCCAACAACAACATGAGCACTGATGGAGCAGCCTGAGCTCAGTTCCACAGCCCTTGCACCAGCTGCAACCAAGCTAGAGCCTGGCTGCAAGTGCCTTGTGGCAGCATAAAGGGCACTGTAATCTGACTTCCACAGGCTCCCAAACTGCTCAGGAAATAAGGCATATTGAAAATTCCAAGGGGAGCAGAAAGGACCAGCATCAACCCTTCCCATAGTAGGAATGTTAAATTATGATTAATCAGCTAATCGAGCAGTCGATGGAATTTCAATGGGGAGGAGTGCTAACTGCCCCTGCTACAGCTCTGCAGTTTAAATGCACCTAGTTCCTACTATGTTTAAATTGCAGAGCCGCAGCGGGGGTAGCTCGAGCCGGGACTAAGCAGTCCTAGCTCGTGCCAGCCCCCAACTGCTGTGGCTCTGCCTTATAAATGTAGTAAGAGCTACCGGGTCCCACACTATGCCTGGCAGCTCTTACTACATTCAAAATGCAGAGCTGCAGCAGTCAGGGACCTGAGTGAAGACCGCTTCGGTCCCCGCTCACACCGGATCCCAAGCTGCAGTTCCGCCTTTTAAACATAGTACAAACCAGGAGGCAGGGGACCGGCTTTTAAGTGGAACACCCCCAGCATCAGCTCCTGCATTCCCTCCTCTCTGGCTGCCTCTATATCAGAAGCAGGAAGGACGGAGGGAATGTGAGTAGTCAACTATTTGACTACTCTTTTTTCATCCCTAGAACACACACATTATGCAAAACTGAGCTTCACAGCTCCCTATGCTTTCCATTCAAGCTGGGAACAGGATCTTCTCCATCCATAATCCCATGAGCAGCCTTTTCTCCCACCCTCTGATAGGATGGTCTTAGTTCACCCACCTAGCTCTATCAGCAGCTCACTAATAGCTTCAATCACGTTAGCCCTGAGTAGGGGATAGGGAGCGCTGAAATCCTCACTGAGCCCTCCAGAGGTCAGAAGCTTATGTAGTGACTCCTGCTGATCACTCTCCTCACTGCGCCCTCGGAGCCTATGGAGAGAACACAGCCCATCACACCAGGAAGAGAGCACAAGTAAATAACCTGATGAAGGCCTATGGAAGGAGCTGCTTTTCCCAGAGCAGAGAAATAAGGGGCCTCATTTATCAACGGTTGGATAAGGGAGCCACACCCACTTTCTCAAACAGGATCCAGAGCTATCTGTGGCAGAAAGCTACCTGAAGCTTTGCCAATCAACTACCTTCTGAAAACTACCTAAGTAAATGCTGAAAGCTGCAGGAGGTACATGGAACAGCCTGGCTCAAAGACTCTCTCTCCTGAGAAAGTGGGCAAAGAACAGCATGTGTAATACAGGGTCAGAACACAAAGTTCTGCAGCAGAGGTTCACACAACAGTAATATATACTACTGGAGCATGGGTTCCCAAACTGGGGGGCATGAAGAAATTCCAGAAGGGGGCGCGAGGCGACCCAGCCTTCCCCACCATCAAGTTTTGCTGCCCCACTCAGTTCCTTTTTTTTTTTTTGGCTCAACAATTTTTGCTGCTATTTTGGGGGGGGGGGGGGGACATGAGGGTTTTTCAAAAATCAAAAAGGGGGGCGTGATGCCAAAACATTTGGGAACCATTGTACTAGAGGAAATGTCAGTTGCAGGAAAACTACAAGGCTCATAGGGACTACAAACATTTCTACAAAAGGAATGAAAGAGGTTTAATCTTGAAGGAAAAACTTTGAGGACAAGGACCACAGGCATCTCATTTAGGCTACATCTACACTATCACAGTAACTCAACCTAAGGTATGGCAACTGCAGCTACATTAATCATACAGTTGGAATCAACATACCTTAAATTGATTTACCTGGGCATCTACACTATTGTGGGAGGGTTTATGGGAGAGTTTACTCTTACTCTTCTCGTCTGGGGTAAGGAAAGGGGTCGACTGCAGAGCACTCTTAACTAGACCCACTAAATTGATCTCTGGTGGATTGATCTCAGAGCTTGGATCTGAGCTGTAGCATAGAAAATAAGCTTAGACTTCTGAAGAGGTCTCACATGAACAGCAAGAGAAGACACCATACAGAATACAAATGATTCTGTCAGAAAGATCTTCTCCCAGGACTTGGGAGTCTCCTAACTTGGATACGCACTGGCAGCAGGGGGAAGGGAGAGCTTGACCTGCTATACTCTTCACGAATTATCTTCAGCACTCGCCGCACCATGTTTCCCACAGTGGTCTCTGATGGTTGGGCTGCAGTCATTCTCTTGCCCTCTTTCCGAATAAGGTCCATCAGCTCCCCTGAAACATGAGAGTGGCTTACCAGCCAAGTCTTGATCACAGCCTAACATAACTCCCCAGCCAGTGGCTCTTTATTACCTTAAAACCAATCTCCTTTCAACAGCCCTACACCTGGTTCAATTGCTACTAACATACTGGAACAAATATTTAAACAGAAAACCTAGCACTGCGACCTAGAAAATAATAAAGCCATAAGCACAGGTGGGCTATACAGGAGAGATCGTTCCAAACTTGAGGAGATGGTATTTTTACTACAGTATTTCTTCACACAGTATATCACTAAATCCCACGCACAAAACTAAGTCAAAGTGGTTTGGATGTCACACTGATAAAAGGATCATAAACAGTAAAGCCCTGAGTTCAGGGAGGGGGAATGGTGAGTACTGAGTGGGTCTGCAGTAGCTCTCGACTTATTTAGCAACGCATACAAATACCAGCAGGGAGGGAGAAATCCAACAGGGCTTACAAAAAGGCAGAAAAAAAATGAGGCTCCATATCCAGAAGGAAGTAGCCCAAGCCCAGACATGCGGTGGGCAGCAGAGAGCGTTTTTCCAGCCCAGACTAGAGTGGGGCTCGCTAAGGAGCTAACCCCCTGGGGCAGGCCCTGATTGGGGGGGAGGGGGATCAGTGCAAGAGCCAAGAACCCCGGGGAGGGGGGGTTATGCAGGGGACTTAGGTTGCCAGATGGTTTCAACAAAAATTCCGGACACACCTGACATTGCATCACAATTTCAACAAAAATACCGGACACACCTGACATTGCATCACAAGCTACATTGCATCTTATTTAAATACCGGACATTTATATTTTCTCATTTATATTTTCTCAATTTGTTTCCTGAACTGAATGCTCAAAACCGGACACCTGGCAACCAAAATTGTCAGCAAAGGAACAGTTCCTCTGTAATTGTACCATCTTGTCTCCAACAGTAGCTATTGTCAGCTATTTCATAAGAAGGTCAGTGCATCTAACAGAGAGCAACACCATGTTGTGAAGCTTTCTTCCTGACCCAATTCGTGATGATGTCCTGAAACATGGGGTCAATGATAACTTTTCATAACTAATGTAAATGCACGTGTCATTTTAATTCAAAACAGTTAATGACAAAGATTTGAACCACACACACATAGGTGATTAAAATGTACACTTGCTCTAACAGTTTAAAGAGGCTTGAGATAGAAAACAATGCATCACCACCTAGAGTTACAGGACTCAGTCCACGCTACATGAGCAAGGTGCCCGATTTTACAAGACACATAGCGACATGTGTTCAACTTCTATAAGCTGATTCAAGCCTTAGATTACTTTTCAGTCCGCTGCCATTGGCCGAGAGCCATGCACTTCCCGCCCAGTCCAGGCCTTTCAGCCAATCGCAGAGAAGATTGAGGCGCCTCTCGGGCGCTAGGGCACGCGGGTACTGTGTGTTTCGTCTGGGGTCAGGTTGTGACTGACCCTGCCCCAAGCTGGCGTCATTGCAGAGCCCGCCTCCGAGTCCGGCCGCGCGGGCTCTGCAGGGGGCGGGGCTGGGTTGGTGGCGCTAGCGGAGGCTTCCACGTGGGCAAAGTGAGACCCACGTGCCTGGCGCGGGAGGAGGGGACTGACGAAGGGAGCCACGTGCCTGGGGTGCTGGGGAGGGGGAACAAGACGCAGGGGGCTGGGACATTCGGGGGGTGGGGGAGGCCGCATGAAGCGAGACCCCCGGGCAGGCCGCCCAACATTTCAAATGGCTGAAGTGGGATTCTGCCCCTTGGCAGGCCAGATTTGCTATTGCGACCTAGCCTATGTGGGTTGCATTGCTGGCTGGCCGGCCAGAGACCGCAGAGGGACAGCTCAGCCTCAGTGGCGCTGTGATCTCTGGGACATTCGGGGGGTGGGGGAGGCCGCATGAAGCGAGACCCCCGGGCAGGCCGCCCAACATTTCAAATGGCTGAAGTGGGATTCTGCCCCTTGGCAGGCCAGATTTGCTATTGCGACCTAGCCTATGTGGGTTGCATTGCTGGCTGGCCGGCCAGAGACCGCAGAGGGACAGCTCAGCCTCAGTGGCGCTGTGATCTTGAGCCTAGGTGGCAGTGCCCCTTGGTTTGGGGGCCCAGGGAAAACTGCCCCGCCTACTGCTCCCCTTCCTAGGCTGCCCTGAATGTGGGAACTGTTCATTTTCCATTGGGACAGAGCAGAGTTGTGTGTCAAAATGAACAGTCCTGTGAAACTTGGGACTGTTGGGATGTCTGCATGTGTGTGAGGCATAAGGGATGCACAAAGCAAGTTGCATGTGCCAGGTATATGTTGGGGGGAAAGGCCCAATAACATACTAGAGATGTGCAGAGTTAACCAATAAGCTTCAATGGGCAAAGCTTACCGGCTAGGGTTAACCAGTAGGGCTGCTCCAGCCTCATGGGCAGGCCTGCTGTGGACAGGGGCTGCTCCCGCACAACCCCTGCCTGTGGCAGGCCCAGGTGTCCTACAGGTAGGGGCTGCTCTGACCAGGATGCTGAAACAACCCCTGCCTGAGGGGTGCTCTGGCCTGCTACAGGCAGGGGGTGCTCTGGCCAGGCTGAAGCAACCCCTGCCTGCAAAACAATGGAGGAGGAGAAGAAATTGCACACACACACATACACACACCCTGCTCGCTCCCTTTAATCATTAGCCAGTTAAATATGTTTAAATGGTTAGCCAATTAAATGGGATTTTACATCTCTGTAACATACTGGACATGACATAAGGACATAAGAATGGCCATACTGGGTCAAACCAAAGATCCATCTAGCCCAGTACCCTGTCTGTCGACAGTGGCCAATGCCAGGTGTCCCAGAGGGAATGAATCAAATAGGTAATGATCAAGCAATTTCTCTCCTGCCATCCATCTCCCACCTTCTGACGAACAAAGGCTAGGGACACCATTCCTTACCCATACTGGCTAATAGCCATTTATGGACTTAAATTCTATGGCTACGTCTAGACTGGCATGATTTTCCGCAAATGCTTTTAACGGAAAAGTTTTCCGTTAAAAGCATTTTCGGAACAGAGCGTCTAGATTGGAAAGGACGCTTTTCCGCAAAAGCACTTTTTGCGGAAAAGTGTCTGTGCCAATCTAGACGCGCTTTTGTGCAAAAAAGCCCCGATCGCCATTTTCACGATCAGGGCTTTTTTGTGCAAAACAAATCTGAGCTGTCTACACTGGCCCTTTTGCACAAAAGCTTTTGCGCAAAAGGACTTTTATCTGAACAGGAGCTGCATAGTATTTCTTCAAGAAGGACTGATTTTTTACATGAGATCGTCAGTGTTCTTGCGGAAATTCAAGCAGCCCGCAAAAGCAGCTGCTTTTGTGGAAAAACTTGCCAGTCTAGACACAGCCCATGAATGTATCTAGTTCTTTTTTAAACCCTGTCATAGTCCTAGCTTTCACAACCTCCTCAGGCAAGGAGTTCCACAGATTGACTATGCGCTCTGTGAAGAAGAACTTCCTTTTATTTGTTTTAAACCTGCTGCCCATTAATTTCATTTGGTGGCCCCTAGTTCTTCTATTATGGGAACAAGTAAATAACTTTTTCTTATTCACTTTCTCCAGATCACTCGTGATTTTATAAACCTTTATTATATCCCCCCTTAGTCTCCTGTTTTCCAAGCTGAAAAGTCCCAGTCTCTTTAATCTTTCCTCATATGGGACCCATTCCAAACCCCTAATCATTTTAGTTGCCCTTCTCTGAATCTTTTCTAATGCCAGTATATCTTTTTTGAGATGAAGAGACCACATCTGTACGCAGTATCCAAGATGTGAGTGTACCATGGATTTATATAAGGGCAACAAGATATTCTCCATCTTATTCTCTATCCCTTTTTTAATGCTTCCTAACATCCTGTTTGCTTTTTTGACTGCCGCTGCATACTGCGTGGATGTCTTCAGAGAACTATCCATGATGACTCCAAGATCTCTCTCCTGATTGGTTGTAGCTAAATTAGCTCACATCATATTATATGTATAGGTGGGGTTATTTTTTCCAATGTGCATTACTTTACATTTATCCACATTAAATTTCATTTGCCATTTTGTTGTCCAGTCACTTAGTTTGGTGAGATCTTTTTGAAGTTCTTCACAGTCTGCTTTGGTCTTAACTACCGTGAGCAGTTTAGTAACGTCTGCAAACTTTGCCACCTCACTGTTTACCCCTTTCTCCAGATCATTTATTAATATGTTGAATAGAACTGGTCCTAGGACTGACCCTTGGGGAACATCACTAGTTACCCCTCTCCATTCTGAAAATTTACCATTTATTCCTACCCTTTGTTTCCTGTCTTTTAACCAGTTCACAGTCCATGAAAGGATCTTTCCTCTTATCTCATGACAACTTAATTTATGTAAGAGCCTTTGGTGATGGACCTTGGTAAAGGCTATCTGGAAATCTACTGGATCCCCCTTGTCCACATGTTTGTTGACCCCTTCAAAGAACTCTAATAGATTAGTAAGACATGATTTCCCTTTACAGAAACCATGTTGACTTTTGCCCAACTAATTATGTTCTTCTATGTGTCTGACAATTTTATTCTTTACTATTGTTTCAATTAATTTGCCCAGTACTAACATTAGACTTAGCGGACTGTAATTGCTGGGGTCGCCTCTAGAGCCCTTTTTAAATATTGGCGCTACATTAGCTATCTTCCAGTCATTGGGTACAGAAGCTGATTTAAAGGATAGGTTACAAACCATAGTTAATAATTCAACAATTTCACATTTGAGTTCTTTCAGAACCATTGGGTGAATGCCATCTGGTCCCGGTGGCTTGTTACTGTTAAGTTTATCAATTAATTCCAAAACCTCCTCTAATGACACTTCAATTGGTGACAAGTCCTCAGATTTGTCACCTACAAAGGATGGGTCAGGTTTGGGAATCTCCCTAACATCCTCAGCC